AATTTAAATTAATAATCATACATGAAACAGATGGGTCCGGTTGCATGGTAATAGCACAGAGTATTTCGACCACGGAATGTGTTGAAACAAAAAACAAAAAAGCGCAATAACCTATTTTCAGAAGGTGAAATTTCTTTGGAAACAAAGTTTGGAAGCTTAATTTTGAATTGAAACGCATGGAGATTAACAACCTACGCGACAGTGAGATTCGAAAATAACGAGATTTCGAATATCGAGAATGTGTAATATGCGTAATCGAGAAGAGTTGAAATGATTAAATTCTATGTCTCTCGTTTTAAGGGTCGGTGTCTCGAGGTCTACCTTGAGCTCTGTTGGTCTGTGTGCAACTCGCGGTTGAGGAAACATTTCGCAGTGCAAATTAGCGCTTGTTATAACAAGAGTTGCTTCGGATTACAAGGCTAAAACTATCATTCATTAACAGGAAAACTGTCCAAACGGTTAGAAAATCAGCCTGTAAAATAGGAGGTCGCGGGTTCGAGTCCCAGTCTGAGATTTGTTTATAGCTAAAAAAAAGCCTGGATTTTGGTAATTTCTGATTAGAAAATTAGATGAGAAAAATGTAACTTTAAGAAAATCCCTGCTTTATTTAAACATTTCACAAAGACCCGGGTTGACAAAAAAAGCTTTTCAAACAATTTTCATTTATGAAAAAAATTACTTATCATACTCTTTCATACAATTTCATAGAGCAAAAATAAATGTAATAAAATAGCTGTACAACCATTTTTTTCATACTATGAAATTTTATAACAAGCATTTTTTCCTTACTCTGGAATTAAAATTTGAGCTTTTTCATCAGTCTTTTTATTCCCAAAATTGTATGAAAATAGCATGATAAGCATTTTTTTCATACTATAAAATTGTACGATAAAATTTTTTTCCATACCATGAAATTGTATGATATACATAAATGAAAATACAACAAAGTTTTGTTTCGAAGTTTTGTGTTTCATCCGAAACACTAACCAAAGATTTTTTGCCATAAAAAAAACCAGAGTGTAACTGGCAATTACCCCGCAGATAATCTGCATTGGGTGATTTTAGCCATAAAAATCAATTTTAAATTTTTCACTTGGAATTAAATATCAGAAATGTAATTTTTTGTAGATGGCTAGATAGTTTTTACTTTGGAAATTTTGGTGGTTGAGAAGAAAAGGGCTATTTTTTACATATATAATTTTAGCAGTGATAGCTTGCAGGACGTTTTCTGTGCGGTTGGATTTTTGCGTGTGCGACTCGCGATTTCGCACAAATTTCAAATATCCTTCATTTTTGGTAAAGCTCGCGTTGCGCCCATGAAAGCGCTATCTTTACCGAAGCTAGAGCTTCAAGCTACTCTGCTCGCCACACGACTGAAAGATGATATACTGACCGCTCTTCCTGTCTGCATTAATCATGTCTACATGTGGACAGGTAGTACTACAATTTTGCAGTGACTAAACTCCACTAAAAAATTACCTGTATTTGTCGCTAATCGTGTCGTCGAAATCCTCGAATCGACCACTATTGATGAGTGGCACCATGTTCTGAGCGGCGATAACACAGCTGATACCGGTACGCGGGGGATTTTTTTGGAAGCCCTCAAGGATAACAGCTGGGTTATTGGGCCTAGCATTCTCAGGACTACTGATTGGCCGTTTATACCCGACAAACGTGTAGTCAACAAAGTTCGTTTGAAGGGTCCTTCTTGTGATGTTGATAATTGCTTGGAGACATCATCTTCCTTCGTCATCGATGTCATATCCATCAAACATCCCAAACACGGGTTCAATTGGGAAAGGTTCAGTTCCTTTACGAGATGTAAGCGAGTAGTCGCTTTCATGTTGACGATGCTGCCTTCACATAAGCATTTTTGCGGTAAGGACTTACGAATCACCGACCCCACTGAACTTGATATTGCAAAAAGCAAAGTGATTCATCTTGCTCAGATGGAATCCTTCCCCGTTGAGTTAAAAACACTCACCGCTGGCAAACCTATGAAGAACAGTAGTAAAATTGCTACATACTCGCATTAATTGGTCCCGCTGGTATCATCCATTCCACCGGACGGATCGTGCGCTTAGTGAATACCAAGTATGATACTAAGCACCCAATATTACTCGACGCCCGACATACCCTGGTTCGTTTGTTGGCCCGCAGCCTCCACAACAAGCATTTTCATCGAGGTTTAGATTACATGCTCTCCGTTTTAAATATGAAATATGCAATACTTGTGCTGCGTCAACTACTTCGGTCTATCGAAAATCAATGGTTAACATGCCGTAAACGCAAAGCAAGTACCATCCGGCCAATTATGTCCGATTTACCTGTAGAACGTCTTGGATATAAGCAACCACCTTTTAATCATTACTTTGAACCGCTTTACTTTCCGGTTCGCAGAAACACTGAAAAAAGATGGGGATTTATTTTTACTTGCCTCACCAGGGCTGTACTCCTTGAGATTGTACCATTTCTGGAAGCCTGTTCTTGTTTCATGAAAATTGAACGGTTCATTGTGCGTCGTGGTACACCAAGCACAATCTGGTCGGATAACGGAACGAACTTCGTTGGTGCGGAAAAGGAACTACTTGCCTGCATCAAGAGCTGGAGCGGCATGGCTCCGACTCTTTTTGCACACATAGGTGTTACTTGGAAATTTAACCCGCCAGGCGCACCCCATCATGGCGGCTCCTGGGAGCCCCTCGTCCGAAGCGTAAAGCGCGTGCCGTACGACATACTAGGCAGTAGGCGAGTCACCGAAGAGGTGTTAGGAACAACACTCTGCCTAGTTGAGCAGGCTTTAAATTCGAGGCCAATCACTCCCGTTAGTACTGATTCACGTGAGTTAGAAGCGTTAACCCCAAACCACCTTTTGCTTGGACAACATACCACAAGCTTTCCTTCGCTTTTTTCTGGGGAGCACTTCGACCACAAGAAAAGGAACGTGCGAGCGCAGTCATATGCTAACTCGATTTGGTCTCGTTGGCTTCGCGAAAATGTTCCCTCGCTGAATAAGCATGCCAAGTGGCACACTCATTCTGACTTCACTCTTAAAACAGGCGATCTCGCGTGGGTGATTGAGCCCAATAACCCGCGTGGGTTCTACCCTCTCGCCCGAATCGTCAAGCTAAACTACGGAGAGGACAGTTGCGCTCGATCCGCCTTTGTTCAGACCGCAACCCGTGAAGTCATTCGGCCGACCGTTAAGCAATGTTGTTGCAATGCAAATGTAGAGTATAGATGCATATAAAACAGAGTATAGATGCATATAAAACAGAGTATAAATGCATATAAAAACAAGCACAGATGGCTGAGTGGCCTAAGCTAACGCCGATTATATGTGTGACATAACAGTTGACGTAGGTTCGAGTCCCCCACTTGCCCATGTGTTAATATACTAAAAACGGGGGTTATATCCTATTTTAACTGTTTTTTAATCTAATTCGGTCCAGCCTTGATTGAGGCTGACCGCCAAAAAGAGCAAATTGTCTCAAGGACATTACCGACCGGTTCTTGTGGCTAGCTTGCGCCGATTTGTACTGAAACAAGCTGGTGATTGAAGCTTACGATGTTTATGCTTGATAGAGATTATGATGAGTTTTTTCCGATAAATGCTCTCATCAATTTGATCTTCTTGAACCTTCATATTTGTTGAGTTAAGGAGATTGAGCGCACATTTGTCTTTTGAAAGATAAACTACATTTTTGGCACGGAAGCAACTGCTAACTTTTTCCATAATCATCCAATTTTTTTGTGAAGTTGTCACCTTGGTGAATTTTATTTTTACATTAAAAGTGAGTTTTTTTTCGGCTCGATCGATCCTTAAAGCCTCGATTGTAATTTCTTGCCCGCTTTTTCAGGTCTCATTTCACTGAACTTTTTTCCGGTTTCTAAGGAAGCTGTTCTTACATCGTTAAAATGTTCATTCCAACTGAATTTCATGCTAATCATGCGGCTCTATGTGCATCCGACTTCCTGCTCTCTGCAGTTTTTTCCACAATAGGCAAAGTTGAACGATTCGGTTCCACTAGATCGAGCAAAGTTTCAATGTCGATATTTTCTTTTGCTTTGGTTGTCAATTAAGATAAGTCACTTCAATCTTCCACACGAATAGATGACTCAATCGTGTAGTTCTGTCAAACTAGTGAAATTTTTCTCAAGCTCGATTTGTTGCTTGATTGCGTTATTGTAAAAAAAAATCCATGGCTATAATAAAGCTAACTTTTCAAAAAATGTTTAAGATAAAATTAGATACAATAAAAGAAGAGCTTTAGCTAAAACAAATGTTAAACAAGTTACAACTGAGCGTTCCAACGGACTGTCACTTGTGTCCCTTGAATGAAAAAAAAACCCTTTTATAAAATCAGCTCATAATTTTTTTTGTGCGATTTTGTGCAATTTTGGGGATTTTGATCGACCACTTTTAGCTATTCCGCAAGTTTGCCCAGTAAAATTGCTACTTGTGGGACTTGAAACTTTGGCACAAGTGAGGATTTTTGGCGAGGAATGTTCAGTTGCGCAATCACCTTGGTCGCAAATTAATTAGTAGAGCTCGGCCGGTACTCTTTTCATTTTGTTTAATACTGAGGTTTCCTTTAAAATTCTCTAGTTCTGCTTGATGTATTTTTTCCCAACTTTTCGGTTCTTTTAAAGAAAACAAAAAAGTGTTGGTGGCCAGTTGAAATTTAGTAATTTCGATGTGTCCAATTTTTGTTCATGCGTACTCGGTGGAGTTAAAACGTGGCTGTTTAAGTAGAACTTAACTGATCAAATCAAGAGCTCTGTAGTTTAAATTATATATATTTAGATTGAAGATTCTTTCAAAAACTGAGAACTCTTTAAGCTACTTTTCAGCTTTTAAGAGCACTGTGTTTTAATTAACATTTTCAGATTGAAAAAAGTTTTGAAAGCTCTTGAAGCTATTTTTTAGTCAATGAAAAAAGAATACTTGTATTTATACATAAATATTTAATTACTTTGACATTTTGAAAAGAAAAAGTTAAAAAAAACTATACAAATAGAAAATTGATTAATTTGGAGTATCATTTCTCTAAGCAGTTTGAGCAATATTTACGGCCTCTAATTTTTCTTTGGCTCATTATTTGTTGTAAGATTTTGTCTTCCTGGGTATTTCTAGCAAAAACCGGCTGGTTTAACTTACACAGAGCAATCATTTTTCCAACATTCTGCAGACTAGAGTCTACACATTCACGAACATGTAAGACTATTCGATTATAAGCACTTTTGAATTTTTTGGATACATCTGTCGATGTCATACCACTACGTACAGAGGCGAATCTTGTATTTTCTCAATAATTGCTAACTTTCAACCAAACATTTTTTCTCAAGTTTCCTGGAAAAAGAGTTTCATGGTCAATAATTATTTATTTAAAAGCCTACAGGCTTTGTTATGTCACTTGCAAAAAAATCTGAAGTTTGGAAAAAAATATCTTGAAAAATGTCTTCTTGAATAGTTATACTTGCACAGCAACCGGGCAGTCTTGTTCCTTTATTTTTTGATTTTCAGCAAACGAGTACAGTGTAAATTGTGAGTTGTATTCTTCATAATTCAACTGTCAGGAGTGTGTGACTAACTATGGACAGGTCCACTCATAGTAATTACTGGCCGGTCCTTATACTGCTGACGATTTTTGATAACGGATGGAGTTTGAAGGAACCCTTCGACTTGAAGTTTGGACCAGATGCCGGCGATAAATGGATGGAAAAGTTCGACGATTATTGTTCCGTTAGCTCCGATCTAAACGGACCTCTGCGCTACGACAATAAAACTATTACACAGTTGCAAACTTGCTCAAATGTTGCGTTAAAGTTGATTGATGACGAAGGTTCCGAACACAGGATTTACATTGCGAAATTTGATGGAGACTTGCAGGACAGGTTTCTTGATAGAATGTGCTTAACGCCTTCATACTATGACGAGTATGATTATCAAGACTACATTTGCAATTGGTACTTAAATTACGACGATGGTTCCGATGCATATGAACCACAAGTTGCCGACTACGCCACCGAAGTTTATCCTCTAATTTTTGAACTGGAAAAAGCATACGAGTGGGATTATATCGAGTTCCTGCGCAAAAATGTGGACATTTACTTTGACGACCTGATGACAATTGTTCACACTGGCGCCGACTCTAAATATGTCAATCTTGTCAACAATGTTTTTTCCCGCAATATCTTACGACAAGAGGACAAGGACATTATCAACTCCCGCATCGGACAAGACTTCTCAGCCGAATCTGGTTTTGTGGTGAGTTTCTACAAAATCAAAGACTACGATTATTTTGTCACATATCACATCAGCGTCCAGTTTGTCCTCGCTTGTGACGACCGCAACACGGTCGAAGTGACTGACAACAAGTGCTACACCATGACTCAGTTTCAGAAGCTCAACCCCAATTTCGAAGATGATTCTGAGATTGAGGCCTCGTTTGACCTCGGCAGTGGTAAGGAAACAACTTGTTCGTCAAGGATTCTTAACTAGTATCTAAATTATTTAACGTTTCATGTCCTGCATGAAATGTCTGCTGTCTTATAAAGATTTAAAAAGTGGGGTTTTTAAGGATTTTAAATTTTATTCTACTGCGCAAAAATTGACTCACAAAATTTGTCGAGAGCTTTTTATTGATTCGAAGTTTCGAGAAAGTTCCAGTGAAATATTGGGAGAGGTAACGCAGTACCAGAAAAACTACAAAAATCTAATTTTAACTTTCTTTTTTTTGCAAAAGACTCAACGCTTCTCTTAGAATCACTTATGACTTTCAGCTAATGGCTTTTTGCAATCAAAACTCTTGAGGATTTTTTTTGTTAAATCAATCTGTGCGTAGGGGATGTGGATCTGCCATTCAACGACAAAAAATGGGCCCAAAAGTGGGTTGAGACAAGCAATGTCGGGATTCCAGGTCTTTGGATCTACGAGGTCAACCAGGGGTACGAGGAACCTTTCATTCGCATCCCCCCACACCTGGTCTCTTTCTGTCATGGAGCCTACTTCGAGCCCTCGTCTCTCCCTATCTTCTCGGGTCCCGGCAGCGTGCGTGAGGTGTCAATTCAGTGCACCGGGATCATCGGCGACGACCAACTCATCAACGTCACTTTGATTGGCAGTTCGTTCAACAAGACGATTGAAGCCGAGTACAACTATGACGAAGTTATGTTAATCGTACCCGTGCCGTTAATCTTGGGCGTGAACGAAGTGGCCCAGGTAAGCATTGCAGTTGGGGGAGTCGAGAAAAAGATTGACGCTACGATTGCCTTCACAGACGAACATGTCGACGGTCCGCTGCAGATCGAGTACCTAAGCGACAAAGAAGTTCAAGTCGCCTGGCCTGATGTGACCATCAATGAGACTACGACTCTGATCGTCAACGAGTTCTCCTATAACGGTTTGTTGCGAAGTTTTTCCATGAATCACTCGGAAACAAGCAACTTATCTGATTCACAGTTATTATTAAAAACTCTCAAAATTGAGTACAAAAACAGTATCTTATTTGTTCGCAATCGCTTGAATCTGAAATAGATTAGTTTTTCTTTTTATGACTTTCATTATTGTAGGTTCCCAGGTGGGGTACAAGAGTTTTGCTGATTTCAACGTGACCCTGGAAGAAAGTAACACCAGTTTCACACACAAATTCAACACCAGCGCTGATTTAGTTCGAGTCGAGCTGGATTCAAATCAAGGTTCGTTACAAGAGAAAAGGTTCATGTTTACTAGTAAACTTCACAGTTGGTCAAATGGTTTCATACTAAAGGATTTGCTGTCGTGGCTCGAGCTTCTTATTTATTGTCTCAAGAAATTTACCAGTGTCGAGAAAAATATTAAATCGAATTCGACTTTTTATAATAACTGAAAATGTCGGTTCTTTGTGAACTATTAGTTTTTTGTTAAAGTCACTAAAACTGATTTCACCTTAACTTTTTTTGCAGGTAAATTTGTCAGCATCGTCACGAGAAAGAATGAAAAAAACTGTCAAGATTGGCTGAATGATCAATTGGACCATGATTTGACACTGTGCACGGGTGATCTTGAGGCACTGCATGCATGTCCTGTGAACAACCCAAGACAGGACCCTTCTCTCAATGACAACTACTGGGCTCATGAGGAGGTGCAAACTGGTCCTCGGAACTGGTTCTATGACCCATGCTGCAACCAACAACCACACATGCCCTCTTACCCTGATGGTGTTTGCGATGCCCGAAGCTGTGACTACAACCCAGGAGCCGACTTCTGCATTCGCTCGCCTTCCATTCCCTGTTATGACCAGAACTATAATCAAATTATTTACGTGTCCAATCAGTGTTGCTACAACGAAACGGGAAGTCTAATAACCGCTGGACTGGGCGGCGCTGGCCGAATGAGTATGAGCAAGGCATCATTCGGAAACTTGCACCAGTTGTTCAAAAACGAATTGGAACCATATCAAAAATGCTGCGAAGACGGAAACAATTGCGATTTATTTCTGCAGAAACGACCAAATCTGGTCGGATCTTACAGAGGAAGCTTGACAATTCCTGCGACTTTTGGAGGACATTTTGAAACAGGAGACGGCGTTGAGTACACTTTCCTGGGCGTGGGAGTCTACACATTTCTAGAAACTGATCTTGACATTCCGACAACAATTCAAATAACTACCCGAGCTAATGGCCTTCTTACCGTTCTAGCAGGTGTTGCAATTTTGTACGGTGATAACAAGATCGAAATCATGAGGCCATACATCGTCCCAACAGGTAAAACGACACGAGTGCGAAATATCTACTTCGTCAACGACGTGATGATTTTCACAGACTTGTTCGTCATCGGCCCCGAAGATCCGTTTGACCTTTACTTCGGTGGGATTAACATCAAAAAGGAAACAGGGGCGCGGTCTGTTCAAGTTTTGATCCCGGGTGTGAACCTTTGTGTGAACATATTTATGGCTCGCAACTACTTCAACTTCTACGTAACTGTACCTGACAGCTTCATGGACCATACGAGGGGACTTGTCGGGATACTCGACGGGAACCCTGCGAATGATTTTAAACCAAAAGGTGAAAAATGAACGTGCACTGTTTCTCCTTGTCACTTTTCTTGGAAATTAGCTAATCCAAAATTGTCATTTTTCTTTCCTGGTGTGTGTATTTAAACCAAAAACGGGGAGAGTTTTCGGACCGAGAAAAAATTCTGAATAAACTAAATCCACGTGCGATGGTTAGTCACGGTGGTTTGTAGAAACCGTTATTGTTCCGGCCACTAGTTTTGTTCCAGCTTATTTTGACTACCTCAAATAAAGCTCATAACTGGTCAAGTGGGGTATCATATTGAAATCATATTGTCGAGAAAATTTGGTCTGAATTTTTTTGGTTTTCAGACTAGTTTAGACGCAGTTTGATAAGAAGCTGACCTCCTAATTGCTATTCTAAATTAAGCTAATTTAACTACAGATTTTTGATTTTCGTCCTAGGTCAATGGTTTTTTCAACTGAAAATGAAAAAAAAATGCAATTTTTTTTTTTGATTTTTTTGAAAAATTTTAAATTAATTTTAGATTTTTTGGAGTTTTTTTTTTCGTATATCAGTTTGGTCGGAATGTTCTAAGCTACTTGCACAGCAACCGGTATACTCTTATGATTGAGACTTAATTGTTTTAATTTAATCTGCTATTTGAGGCGCCAGTTGTACGATGTGCCTGTATGGAGTCCTTGAAATTAAGCGACTAGTTTATTTTTCCCTAAATAATAACTCGCATTTTAATTCAGCTGATTATCAATTTTTTCTTTCTTCTACAGCTCGATTGATTGATCCTCTCTCTCAGCCTGTGGACCAAAATAGTCTGCACGAGGACTTCGCCGAGTCGTGGAGAGTCGATGACCCGCAGGGCTGGCTGTTCGGATATTTCCTCTCGGATATGATTCGATCTGAGATCGAGTCCGGTCCGATGACCTACAACTACTCTGTCACCTACTCAGACGTGTTGGAAGCATTTGAAGGCGTATGTTTCAGATTTCTTAAATTATATTCATACATGAAACAGATGGATCCGGTTGCATGGTAATAGCACAGAGTATTTCGACCACGGAATGTGTTGAAACAAAATACAAAAAAGCGCACTAATCTATTTTCGGAAGGTGAAATTTCTTTAGAAACAAAATTTGGAAGCTTATTTTTGAAATGAAACGCATGGAGATTAACAACCTACGCGACAGTGAGATCCGAAAATAACGAAACTTCGAATATCGAGAATGCGTAATATGCGTAATCGAGAAGGGTTGAAATGATTAAATTCTTTGTCTCTCATTTTAAGGGTCGGTGTCTCGGGGTCTACCTTGAGCTCTGTTGGTCTGTGTGCAACTCGCGGTTGAGGAAACATGTCGCAGTGCAAATTAGCGCTTGTTATAACAAGAGTTGCTTCGGATTACAATGCTAAAACTATCATTCATTAATAGGGAAACTGTCCAAACGGTTAGAAAATCAGCCTGTAAAATAGGAGGTTGCGAGTTCGAGTCCCAGTCTGAGATTTGTCTATAGCTAAAAAAAGCCAAGATTTTGGTAATTACTGATTAGAAAAAAGATGAGAAAAACTTTAAGAAAATCCCTGCTTTATTTAAACATTTCACAAAGACCCGGGTTGACAAAAAATGCTTCTCATACAATTTTCATATATGAAAAAAAGATTATCATACTCTTCTTTCATACAATTTCATAGAGCAAAAAAAAGTGCAAGAAAATAGCTGTACAACCATTTTTTCCATACTATGACATTTTATAACAAGCATTTTTTCCATTCTCTGAAATTAAAATTTGAGCTTTTTCATCAGTCTTTTCATCCCCAAAATTGTATGAAAATAGCATGATAAGCATTTTTTTCATACTATAAAATTGTACGATAAAAATTTTTTCCATACCATGAAATTTTATGATATACATAAATGAAAATACAACAAAGTTTTTTTTCGAAGTTTTGTGTTTCATCCGAAACACTAACCAAAGATTTTTTTGTCATAAAAAAACCAGAGTGTAACTGGCAGTTACTACGCAGATAATCTGCAATTGGTGATTTTAGCCGTGAAAATCAATTTTAAAATTTTCACATGGAATTAACTATCAAAAATGTAATTTTTTGTAGATGGCTAGATTGTTTTTACTTTGGTGGTTGAGAAAAAAAGGCCTATTTTTTACAAATATAATTTTATCTTAGCAAATGAAACAAAGAAATCATAATTGAATTTACAAAAAAAACACTTTTTGTGTTATTATTGGATATTTTAGTTGAGAAACTTTTCCTGAACTAGGTTATAAACACAAAAAGTCAAACTTTGCATGCAATGTTCTTTTCCTAATTTTTATATTTGAGCTCAAAAGCAAGTTTGCAACCAAAAAAGTAATTGAACTTTTTTAACCTCAAATATGTGTTTTTGCTTATGAAAAAAAGCAAATCATAAAGTTTTTATAATTGAAAACTATATGATAAGAATTTCTTCCGACCAAAATTTAACTTGTTTTTGATTGTCAAAATATCTTAGATATAATTATTTAAATCTGTTTAAAGTTACCCAGACACCTTTTTTGGTGAAATTCGAAAATTTGTTTTTTTTTCTATGACAAAATGATTATCTTATGGTTTTCA